GCACAGTTGAAACCTGATCTCCCTGCAAGCTGGTTTCCGTCTCAGCTAGATCCTCCGTCCGATGTAGTGTCGGAAAGGCCCAAACCTAACATCTCTCGCCGACGCAGTAACGACACATCCCAGACCAAATCCGTCGCCCGAAATATCAACATTTGGGACAGTGACGATCTTTTGTTCGGGGATTTCCTAGAAAATGGTAAGCTGGATTGCTCCTAGTGAAGATGGGCATTCAACGGATTGACCCGAATCATCTGCAGACCAAGCCGAAAACTGGTCGTGTGTCGATAAGTTGCCACAATCACCAGAAGACAAAGCACAGCTTCCAAGAAATACGAGTAAGGGCCCGAATCAAAGCAACAATCAGATAGTTGAAACAGTAGAGGCTGTCAGGCTCGAGAACGGTCGGTGGGCCTGCAACCATCGGTGCAAAGATAAGACAACGTATAACAATGATCCCATGTCCAAAGGAAAACAACTAATTGCAAGCAGATGTAAGCATCTTTGCTGTCGAGAAGGACTCGAGAAGCCACCCAAAGCAAACAAGAAGCGCTCAGGCGACGATGATAAGGACAAGGGTAAGAATATAACGGGGCTCAGTCAGACAACCCTTTCAGCAACAATAGCCAAAAAGGACACTACCACCCAAGCGAGTAACCCTTCTGATTCCGAAGCACAGAGACATCTAATAGAAACCCCGGTCTCCACGCACAAACCCTCCTCAGCGAACACGAATACCAACAGAAACACTAAGCCAGGAAATGACTCCGGCTGTCAAGTTCCAAAGAACATACTAGAATCCTCAAGCGACTACGGAAACGACAGCTTCAGTGACTTCCCTTCACCGTCCGCCCTGCTGCTCGGAAAGCCCATAGTAGCAACATCATCAAAAGAACAGGATCTCGAAATCCCCACTATCGAAGACAACACGAAGATAGACTTGAATACAGAAGACTGGAGTGATGATGATGGATGGCCATACTTCCAATTACCACCAGTGACAGATATGGTTTCGACACCCGAGGGTGGTCAAGAAAGCAACATTCAACCAGCACAAGGACCTGATAAGGCTAATATAATCAACTCAGCCCCCACAGAGGTCAAAGAAATGATGCTGAACAATCAGGATGATAGACCTGACTATCATGGATCTACTCCTGCGGGTTCTCATGGGAAGAAACGGAATGTTCTCATGACTACGACCGTTGACACCAATAGAAAGAGGTGCAAGATGAACAAAGACATCGTAGCTACTTATCCAAGCTCTTTCCAGCCCGGTGGTACTACGGATGTAGCAGCTGAGGTTCCCGCAGGCTGGAAGGATGTTGACCCTGCTTTACTGCATGAGTTCAAGGATATTATCAATTTGTTCTAAAGCTTGATAGCTAGACATAATTTGTGAGTTTCAGCATGTGGTGCGGATATGGAAGCATCCATCCACATTCCTTCCTTCACAAGTACATCTAGTATCACAGTAGGTAACCGAATGTTGTCAGATTATGCGGAGAATGCCATACAGAAGTGAAAACTAGTATAGTGAACCACTTAAGAGTCTCGCACACGAGGTAAACACCGTAATAAGCCCTTCAGATACTGCTCAAGGAGTAGAAAAAGAATACACACACTTGCTCTTCTGTGATCCAAAGCATAAGTTGCCATCGCAATGTGAAAGTGAATGAGAAAAAGAGTGAAAGCCCTCGAAGGCCTAAAAAGGAAACGCGCTGAAAGTCACGCACCCCCCAGGCCTACTTTCTATAAGACCTTCTAGCTTTGTCCGTGACTTTCATGTCTCACATCACCCACCTTCACTTTCCAACACTCTCTTTCCAGACTCTTCCTAATCTGCATTAGCGAGGTTCATGGAACAGTGCAGAAACATACAGGTAGTGTTTCACGCTAGTGCTGATTTGTATGCATTTCGATATAGGGCTGGCTGTTGACACATTCCTCTTCACTGATCTAGATTTCTCTGTTCTTCTCCACTAGCAAACAATCTTCTGCTTCCCAACTTCGCGTCGAAAGACGATTCATCTATCACAACATACCGAAATTAACTTCGAAGCACATCAATAGTCAGGTATGTGATTCAATATGATTCCTTTTTCCACAGAATCCTGTCTTTGTTCTTCGGGGTTGTGTGTACTTTGACACAGGTGACGCGCCCGCACGCCTCGCTGCATCATGACCTGAATATCGCTAAGCGAATAGTTGGGCACAATATATCACGTCCCATCTTTCACCGTTTTTATCACTTCTTTATCTTGGGCTTCGTTAGTACTCTTGAAGCAGGCATGCTAACTTGGAATCAGAGAAGTTGCACACTGTACCTTCGTGGTCGTTCCTCAATATGGGGAAGCTCAACTACCTTGGCGTGAGTTCTTTCATTGAGTACCAACATGTGATAACTCTAGAGAACAGAGGCTGACGATAAATTGCTTCATAGCGAAAGATTAGAGGCATCAAAGCGGGCCAGGCCGTCTTAACTAGCTTGGTAGGTGGCAGTCGTGTAGTCTGAACTCTAACGAAGTAGACTGACAACTGCTTATAGAAGAAGCGATTGCCGCCTGAAGATCGCAATAAACCGGGCAACCATGAATCGGCTTTACGAGACCCTGTCGTTGAAATCGATATTACCGGGAAAGAGTTGACGGATGATGGCCTCAACCAGTTCATCGATGTCTTGATCGAGTGCATCAAATTTGGAATCAAAGAAGTTAGAGAGGGCAAAGTTCATACCGCCCGCATAGTACGGGTCGCTGAGCTCCACTTGCAAGGTAACCAGCTTACCGTGGAGTCGCTGGCTAAACTGGCAGAGGTAGTCGCTTTATCGAAAGGTGACCTTCGGGAACTGGATCTCTCCAAGAACCAGCTTCACATTGAGACTGCGGAAGATGTTGAAAAGTGGGAGGCCTTCCTCGGGAAGTTCAAAAATTGTTACATGCTCAAGAAGCTTGATCTGAGTGGTAACCCCCTTGGTTGTCTGGGCGTTGAGCACTTCGCGCGGGTCTACCTCAAAAGTGACCTCGACTGGCTTTTGAGTGATGCTCCGGACATTATTGGTCCTGACCCTAACGCCGAAAGTCATTCAGTTGATGATGATTTGGCTAGAATGAAGTTGTCGGACAAGGAAAACGAGCCTAAGGGATCCAAAAAGTCGCCTGACAAGGGTAAAAACGCCCGTCCGAAAAGTAGGTGCACGGCTTCCTCTTTTAGGTATGTATCTGGAACTAACAGATGACCTTTTCTAGGCCACACACAAATCGAATGGGCCGAAGAGGCCGAGTTTACTTGCACTCGGGGTCTGCGTTCCATTCCTCATCTCATCCTATCGGAGATTGGACTGTCCAACACCAGTGCCCTTCATCTGCAAAGCATGCTCAGAGCTCAACACACGCCGGAGCACCTACTTAAGTTCCTTCCTCCAGGGAAGTCTGTGACTCTTCCTCAAACTGCGTCCCAATGCAAGAGCATAATTTGGCGCCCTACCAATGATCTCCCGCCATACACAGTGCGGCTACTGGAGGTGGCAGAAAGTCTTCGTGATGTGGTGTCCGATACAGAGGCTGAAGGGCAGAGTATAAACGACGAGAATGACGGCAAAGAGTATGCCAGCCGCGGCAGAAACAAAGGACAAGACCATGACGAGAAACCCGCAAATCAGGTTGGAAATGATCTGAAAACCGAGTACGCTCGTCTCTGCAAACGCGTTCAACTTGAGGCAATCAAGATAGAAGGCGTGCATAGCAGCACACTTTGGAGCACCGCACTGAAAATGATGCTCATATCACGGACCATCTTGCTGGATGATGACAATCGTCTGAGATCGGATAGTAAGGTGGGAGGCGCCGATGTCGAGAATAACGTACGCGTGGACGAAGGCGAGAAAGAGGCGGAGTCGATTCAAGGAGACGGCAGCTCATCTGATGGGCCAAACTACGCCCATGTGGAGTTTGTTGAGCCTCGTAACCGGACTCGCGTGCGGTTTGTCGAACCTAATACTGGTGCATACTCGTATCCAGGTGAAGATATCGCGCACATAGGCCCTCCGGTTACGAACACTGCCCCTGAAGGGGCCGGACAACGCGCCGGTCCATCCTACTCCCGCTATGAAGCGTTCGTCTCCGAATTTCCCACGCCTCAGGAGGCATATGAACCATCTGCATCGATGAATGCGGCTGTCGCGACTGAAGTCATGCAAATCCCTTCTGCAGCGTCCTCAAGCTCGGGTACAAGGAGCCGGAACCCTGATGAAGACCGCGTGTTGCGGTTCGACGTTCCCTTAAAGGTTTGGCGACGAACGATTGCCTATGTCGTCGGCGCGAATGGGCTCCTTGACAATGAGCAGCAGAATTGCATTTTGAAGTATGCCGCTAGTTGGGAGGCCCTCGAACACGCACAAACCTTCCAAGGCGCCGAAGAACACCAACAGATTTGGAAGCTCCTCCAGACGTTGGATTGCTTCAACTACAGCGTGTGGAAGGCTGATCGATCCAAGGTGAAGGTGTCCTGAATCACAGTCGATGAAGGAGAAATGAAAACTGCAGGACAGGTATTTCAGATCGCAATGTGAAACGCAGAAGACATGATTTCAAAAGTTCAAAAAGGAGAGCCACTGTACGAGTGATCAGTCGATGAAGGTGCTCGACTCAGATTCGGGATGTCTGCCGGCCAGAGCCTGGTCTTTGTATGACACTGATCAACGGGATCCTTGTCTGGCGAGTCCATAATAATAGCTTAATAATGATAATGATGATGAAAAGTGATTTCTGCGTAATAGATGTAAGAACTACCGACACGTAGGATCGAAGTTTACTACAAGATGCCTCACTCAGTCTTTTGGTGAATCCCCTTCCCCGCACGTGACCCCTCATTATCCATCTTCGCCATCTTCGCCTTCACCTTCACCTTCACCTCTACCATTCACCTCTTCTTCTCCTTCTAACGAATCCCCTAAAACGAGAGATAGCGTGTCGATCCAGAATCTTCCCTAGGCTCAAACAACCATGATGCGGACCAAAAGAACCAACACTCAGCCCTTAGAAGATGCCTCCATCTCGCCCGCCACTTTCAACGACGGCCTTCCCCTCCCGAAGCTGATCGCCTTTGATCTCGACTACACTCTCTGGCCATTCTGGGTCGACACGCACGTCAGCGCCCCGATTAAACCCCGCGACAACAATTCCCGCTGCACGGATCGGTATGTCCCCTCATCCCCTAGTAAAACTACTACCATATAACTCACCATTACCTCCCGCAGCTGGAACGAATCGTTCGCCTTCTACCCCGCCGTCTCCTCTATCGTCTACGCCTGCAAAACCAAAAACATCCCTCTCGCTCTAGCCTCACGCACTCACACCCCCGATCTCGCCCGCGACATGCTCAAAGCTCTGCACATCATCCCTACGTTCTCTGATAACCCCGCGGCGAAGACCAAATCTGTCCGCGCACTGGATTACTTCGACTACGTCCAGATCTTCCCGGCGAACAAGACGCAGCATTTCTCGCGCATTCAGCAGGCGAGTGGGGTGGCGTATGAGGAGATGCTGTTCTTTGATGATGAGGCGAGGAACCGGAATGTTGAGACTGAGTTGGGGGTGACGTTTTGTCTGGTGAAGGATGGGATGACGAGGGAGGAGGTGGATCGGGGAGTTTGGGCGTGGCGGAAGAGGAATGGGATTAAGCAGCGCAAGGAGGGAGATGTAGAGAACGGGGATGAAGAGTGATGTCTTGTGTGTGGGGTGGGTTATAGATATGGGTTGTAGATATGGGTGTTGGCGTTTAGTTGGGTTTTGCTAAGTTAGACATGATGATAGATACCCGGTTGGGATAGATGACGACTATATACTTATATTTTTGATATGTACATTAAATACATTGGTTTATGTATCAAACGTGGTGTTAATCTATAAAAGAATATGATGGTGCTACTCTTCCTCTACGGAGTACTCACGGACCCGTCTCGGTCTCCACAAACTCACCTCCGCGGACATCAATCAACTTCCACCATAACATCCGCAACCGCAATCAACAACACAACACAGCACAACCAAACACAACAGATATTACTCAGTCTATCGCCTACATACCTACCTACAAACCCTTCTCGCCACTCTAATTACCTCCTCTCTACAACCTCAAACCACCACCACCACCACCACTACCAACCCGAATATGGACCCCCGACAACACCAACAATCATCAACAACATCAACACACCTCAAACCACCCCCGTCCACACCACACTCCCAATCTCACCACTCCCATCAACAACGCCCCCCGTCCACCCCCTCCTCGCACCACCACCGCACCCCCATAACCGCGCACCCCAGCGCCACCATCTCCGAAAGCCTGCTAATCCAAGGCTCGCACCCCATCTCCATCGGAGCGAGCACAATAATCCACCCGCGAGCTCGAATTTACTCCTACGAAGGGCCCGTGATAATCGGCAACGGATGCATAATCAGCGAGAAGAGCGTTATCGGGTCCGCGCCCACCACCTCCACATCCACAACATCAACCACATCCACATCAAGCGGCATCGCCAGCAAAGACGAAGGGTCAATTCTGCCCATCCGCATCTCAAACAGCGTGACAATCGGCCCAGGGGCACAGATCCTTCCGGGGGCGCATATCCATAGTGCAAGTTGTGTGGAGGCGCGCGCGGTGATTGGGAGGAGGAGCGTGGTGGGATCGCATTGTCGGGTGTGTGCGGGCGTTGAGGTTGCGGATGGGGATGCGGTTGCGGATTGGATGGTTGTTTGGGGGGGTGGGAATCGGAGGAGGAGGAGGGCTGTGGGGAGGGTGGAGCCGAGTAAGGTGGTTTTTCCTGCTGGAGGGAATGGCGTTGGGGGGTTGGAGGGGAGGGTGATTGAGGAGGCGAGGTTGATGGTGTTGCAGAGAGAGAGGGATGCGTTGGTTAGGTTGATTGGGGGGAGGAGGAGATGAGATTGTTTTTTCATTGTGATGGATTGGTGGATGATGGGGGGAAAGGGGGTTTGTTTCTGCTCTATACCCAGTTCATATGCATGGTTTTGAAAACACTGCAAGCAAGCATCATGTTATTTTGTGCACGTTCTTGACTTGCTAAGTCTCGATGTATCTTACTACTTAATATGGCACGTATCGTTTAAGACAAAAGAAATCTGATGTTGCATAGAACATCTACCCTATCCCAGCAGACACATTGAGACATAAAGTACATGGAAAAAATGAAAGAAAAATGCAATTCACGCTGTCCTAGATCCTATGACCCCCGGGTATGACCTCCTCCCCTCATGCGTTTTCCTCCAGTGGCTCCTCCTTCGCCTCCAGCTTCTCCTCCATCCTCACGAGCACGCTTGTTGCCCTGAGGCACGAACTGGCGAGCACCGGCATTCAGCGAGCGGCCTGGACTAGCCTGTCCCTGCTGCGCGGCATTCGTAGCCTGTACATTTTGGTTTCCGCCGCGTCCATGACCTCCGCGTCCGCCACGGCCCCGGGGCAGACCAGAGCCGCGCTGGCTAGGAGCTTGCTGCTGGGCTTGACCCTGACCTTGCGCCTGTTGCTGCTGGCCCTGTTGCTGGCCAAAAGGATTCGCCTGCGACCCGCCGCGGCCGCCGGTTCTGCCGCCTCGTGCGACGGGCAATCCGGATGTCAGTGCTCGCATAAGACCAGGAGCATTGCCGGCCGGAGGCTTGCTGGGCAACGAGGTGGGTTGCTTGTTCTGGCTCTGACCGAACGGGTTCGGAGGAGCATTGGTGGCTGGCTGAGCCGTTGCAGGGGCAGCTTGTTGTTGTGCTGCCTGTTCAGGCGCAGGTTGTTGCTGCGGTTGCTGCTGTGCTGGGGCACCTGTCTGCGGCGTAGATTCAGCAGAAGGTGGCTCGGCTGTGGAAGCTGCTGCAGGCTCCGCAGGCTGTGCCTGGGGTGCAGCTGCAGGCGTAGTTGCGGGTGTGGCCGCAGGAGTGGCCGTCGGAGCAGGCGACGGCGATGGTACCACCGGGGTAGCCTGGGCCGCTGCGGGCGCGGGAGACGGTGCAGGCGCAGGGGATGCCACCTGGGCGGGCTTGGCCTGCGCCGCCGGAGGCGCTCTGGTGGTCTTTGCGACCTCCCACACTTCGACAACGGGCTTCTGTGGTGTCTCCGTAGCAGCCTTCTGAACCACATCGATCTTGGCCTGGGCTGTCCTGTATCGGGTATCCAGCATGCTTAGCTTCGCCAGTGATTTCTTGTCCGACAACTCGACGGCAGCCTTGATCTTCTCCTCCACACCCTCATCATGGGCCTTCTTCAACGCTTCTCTCTCTTCGTTAAACTTCTGCTCCAGTGTGCTCATGGCCTCCTGGTTGGCTTGGCTCTCCTGCTTGTCGGTTTCCTTTTGCTTAGCCACCTGGGTGCGGATGTTGCTCCGAATGATGTTACGAATGGTCTCGTTCTTGGCAACAAGCTCCCTGGCTTGCGCGTCCGTCAGCTCAGGCAGTCCAGTGTCCTTGGAAGGTGTCGCGGGAGCAGCCGCAGGAGTCGCCGGCGTTGCTGGCACCTGCTCGGATTTGGGAGCTGGGGTTCCAGGTTCCTGAGGAGCGGCTGGTTGACTGGACTTCAACCGCTCAACTTCCTGCCGATGAGCAGCCCGGACTTCAGCCAGCTTGCTGTTGAACATCTCCTTCAGCTTGTCAGAGCGTTCCTTGATCTTGGCCTCGTGTTCTGTTTCCTTCGCGGCCAACGCAGTCTCCTTCTCCGCAAGAGCTGCCTCGAGACGCTGCACCTTCTCTTCCAGAGCCTTCACGCGTTGGTCGTCAGAGGCGGCAGGCGGCTGCGTTGTTGGCGCAGGGAACTGAGAAGCAGGCGTCGAGTCAACACCCGTAGCTCCTTCGACAGCAGGAGCTGCAGGTGCTGCAGGTTTCTCGGCCATCCTCGTCTTCAACTCATTCAGCTCCTCCCGAGTCGTCTTGAGTTCTTCTTGAATAACTTCCTTCTCCTGCACGACCGTATTCAGCTCCACTTGTTTAGCGTTGATACGGCCAGTCAACTCCTTAGACCGAGCCTTGAATTGGTCCGTGAGCTTCGTGCGCAGTTCTTGCACACGATCTTCCGCATGCTTCAACTGTTCTGGGAATGCAGCAGCCTGGGTTTGTAGAGTGTCACGGGCAGCAACGGCCTCATCACGTTCCTTTTCCAGCGTCTCAAGTTTCTCCTTCAGACCTTCCATTTCCGCAGGGTCTACCCGATCGTACTTCTGCAAGATGTTCTGCGTACGTTGCTGCCACCGGTCCCTGTCATCCTGCAGCAACTTCAGCTCTCCATCCTTCGTCTCCACAGTGTTCTCTAGCTCCCGGATTCTAGTCTCTAGCGGTTGAGTCTGCTGAACAAGTTCTTCGATGCGAGAAGACTTCTCCGCAAGTGAAGTTTCCGCCTGCTTGACCTGGTTACGCAGCGTAACACTACTCTCGCGGAACAGGTTGAGTTCGTTCAGGGTCTCCATCAACTTGTTGTGGCTGAGAGCACTGTGTTCACTGTCGGCAGCCGCGCGACGCTGCTGCTCGAGCTTAAGCCGGGCTTCGTCAAGCTGGGTCTGAGTGTAGTCGAGTTGCTGACGAAGACGCTTGCTTTCCTGGGTTGACAGATGGTACTGCACATCGACGATCTCCTTCTCACGACGCAGGAACTTAATCACCTCCTGGAGGCCTTCGAGGTTGGGCGCCCCAGCCTCTCCGTCCTCATCTCCCTCAGGAATGTTAGCCCGGTCGCGCTGGAGGGCTGCGATCTGGTTTGTAATGTTCTCGAGTTGGGTATGCAGCAACGAATTCTGGTGGAGAACTTCCTCGCGACGCTTTTGCAGTTCCGTAAGCTCACTCTCATACCGGTCCTTGATCTCAGTCCAGCTTTCCTCCTTCTGAGCAAGGTCCTTCTTGAAAGTGTCGGCCTGTGTCCGGAGTTCGACAACTTCCAGCTTCAGCTGGTTAGCTTCGGACCGGACCAATTGTAGGTTCTTCGCGGCTTCGGCATGCTTGACCAACTCGGTCTCGTAGTTCTGTTGGGCGTGCTGCGCGATTTCAGCTTGTGCCTTGAGATCCTCCTGGTGGAATTGAGCAGAAGCGATCTGCCGTTCATTTTCGTCCTTCAACCTTGTGATCTCTGCTTCCAGCGCGGCCTTCTGCTCCTCCAAATGCCGGCCAGCCTCCCCTTGCTCGTCACGCAGTTTGGTAAGTTCGCCATTCGTAGTCGAAAGCTCGGTAGAAATTTCTTCGATGCGCTTCTCAAGGTCCTGAATCTTCTTATCCTTTTCTTCGATGAGACGCTCCGTTTCCTCCCGATACTGTTCCTGGGTCTCAGTAACCGACTGCAGACGCTCTTCGCTCTGCTGACTGATAGCCTTGTAGTCTTCCACCCGCTCTTCCGCGTGCTGAAGCTCATTCTTTGTCAACTCCAGATCACGACGAAGCTCGGAAACTTCAATACCAAGCTCCTGTTCGCGTGTCAAACCACTCTCCTGGCCTTCCTCCGGAACCGCAGGCGCTTCAGTAGGAGCAGCAGACACACTTGGCTTAGTCTGCACGACCTGAAGGCGTTCTTCGGCGCTACGCAGCTCGACAGTGAGTTCGTCGACTCTCGACTGCAAGTGATCTCTTGTCGTCTTCGCAGCAACCAACTCCTCCCGAGCGGCGCCCAAGCTCGTCACCAAGTCATCAATTCGCTTCTGACTTTGCTCATGTTCGTATTCCCTGCGCAAAGATGCCTTCTTTCCCTCCTCAACCTCATCGTTAAGCTTCCGCTTGGTGGATTGAAGCTCCGATTCGAGAGACTCCACGCTACTCTGCAAACGACGACGACTCTCAGCATCGGTATGCTCCCGCTCATTGAGGATGGTTTGAAGATTGGCGTTGAGAGAATCAAGTCGGCCTCTCTCGTTGCGCAGTGTCTCGTTGTCCTCGATGAGTCTCTTCTCGATATTCTTCCAGAGATCCTTCTCTGCCTTAAGGTTGGCATTCTCCCGTTGAAGGCTCTCAACGAGACCCTTCGTCTCCACCAAATCTTCCGCAGCCTGCTGAGTCCTGATGTCTTGTCGATTGGCGTTCTCCAGAAGAGTGGCGTAGCGTTTTTGCATTTCTGCGTTTTCGTTCTTGAGCATGTCGAAATTGCCCTGGAGAAGCTCGGCTCTTTGGGTGGCGGCAACAAGCTGGCTGCTGGAGCGGCTAATTTCGCTCATCAGTTCACTGTTCTTCCTGGACAGCTCATTGACCTGTTGCTTCAATGCCGCATGATCGGTGGCGGACTCCTCGCGGAAGCTGTCGAAGTGTGCCTGCACCTTGCGCAACAGATCAGCGTAGTCTGGAACATCCTTGGCCGGCTCTTCGGAAGCGGGAGGAGCTGCGCCCAGAGGAAGAGACTGGGAGAAGACAGATGCATCGCCAACGGTTTGACGACGGCGGGTAAGCATGCTCCGGAAGGTATCCCTCTCCTTAACATAACTCTTTGTTTGGGCGACGAGGTTAGCGATCTCGTCACGGTAAGTCTGCACTCGGATTCTCAGCTCCTTCAACTCTTCTTGCTCTTGTTGACGGATGGCATCCTGCTCGCGGGCCTCTGCGCCCTCCATCTTATCCCCAAGCTCTCTCAACATACGACGGAGAGTGACATTCTGCTCTTGGAGCTCGTGAAGATCCTTGAACGTCATTAAATTGCGACTGATGAAACGTCCGGTTGGGTTGAGATCAGCAGAAGAGTCATCAATCTCCTGGCGTGCAATCTTCTCGAGTTCCTCTCTATCGTACGTGGTCTCGCCTTCCTTCAGAATGGCATTTTCCAAAACCAAGACCTTAATCTGAGCGCTCAAATCTCTCAGTTGCTGACGCAAAATGTCTCCTTCACGGGCCAATCCCTCCACTTGACCTTGCCACTTCCTTGCCTCCTTGGTTGCATCGTCTCGTTCCTTCCCAGCGGTTTCCAAGATGTTGGACATTTCGACGACAGCATTTTCGAGTCTACCGTGATCTGCACGAAGTTCATCAATTTCAGGCTTGCTGGCTTCAAGATCTTGGACCATCTCATCTAGAGTCGACCTAAGCTCTTGGTTTGTCTTTTGCTCCATGGCCAGCGATGTCCGCATCTTGTCGTACTCGGTATACATCTGCGTCAGGGTGAGTCCTCCCTTTCCGCGCGACGCTCTAGGTGAAAACGCGCCCACTGGAGTACTGGAACGCATTGGGGTACTGGGCCCTGCGCCATTCAGCGCGGGGCTCATGGATCTCCTTCCAGCAAAACCATCAGATTCGAGCTGGCTGACCGTGAGCTCAAGCTCAGCAACGCGACGCTCAGCAGCTTCTTTGTCGGCGTGTTCGGTTTCGATTTCCACTCGGAGACGGGAAATCTGCTCCGCAGCATCTTCTCTTGCTTTGTCCAGTGCGAGTTGACATTCCTTGGCACGCTGCTTCGAAGTCTCGGCAGCATTGGACTGCAATTCGGCCAGTCTACTTGCACTATCCAATTCAATTCTGAACGACTCGGTCGCCTTGATGGCGTCTTCTCTGAGCTGGTTGATGCTGGAAAGCGCTTCTTCATAACGCTGCTCCACCTCATCCAGGCGGCTCTTGAGGGCGTTCTCGCTCCGTCTCAAGGAGTCAACATTGGCACTGATCTCCTCATTTTCGCGTTGAAGCTCCGAAATCCGGGCGCTCTTCTCCTTGCGGAATTTCAGATACTCGGCGGACTTAGTCTTCAATTCCGTCTCAAACCACTCGTTGTTTTTCTTTGTCAATTCCAAATCCTGCTGGAGGCTTTGCTCACGGAACTTAGCGCTGGCGGAGGCAGAGTTTGCGGCCTGGAGGTTCTGCTCGGCGGTGGAGAGTTCGCGTCTCAATTCGATCGTCTTCTTGTGTTGTGTCGAGAGCTCCTCGGCAAGCTTGTCATAGGCTGCAGACTTGGATTCGAGGAGTGATAGAGTGTCTCGGTTGGAAGCTTCGAGCGACGAGATACGAGATTTCAATGAGCTGGCTTCGGATTCGTTTGACGTGGAGGACGACTTGAGTGTAGCAATTTCGGATTCCAGGGTAGAACGAATGTTTTCTGCAGAGCGTAAGTAAACGCGTAGTGACGGGTCCGCATAGGAACTAACCGGAGTCGTGGAGTTTCTTTCTTGTTTCCTCGACTTCGGCATGACCCTTCTCGACCGAGCTCTTCAGGACCTTGATCTTGTTGTCTCTGGAGCGGACGGCATTATCGAGTTCCACCTCGAGGCGTATCTTATCAGACTTGAGCTCATCATGCTCGCGTGCTTTTGTGGTAATAGCTTCCAAAAGCTGGTTGACTAGTTCGACCGTAGGAGCTGTGGTGAGGGTGCTCAAAGTCGACTCGGCGATGGCGTAGTGCGACGAAATAAACGGTAACTCAATCGTAGCAGCAGCCATGATTACCATGGGCTGTCCGCAGCGATAGCTGCTGGCAAATGAAGGGTAATGCTATATGACGACAAACAATGGACGAAGTGACGGAACAAGCCACAGTAGGTGAATCGGAATGGGTCTGCTGCGCGTTGAAAGAAATTCCCCTTAGCGAGAGCGCACAGCTTCCAGGTAGCAGACTAAGCCATGGAGTAGCGCTGGGAATGATGGAATGGGCACTAGTGAAGGGGAGAAGATGAACAGGGCCCCGTTGCGCGATGAGATGTAACGAACGAGAGGCTCCATGGCTGGGCGGAGCTCTCGATATGGTTAGCGTATGTCAACACTCACGTGATGTCATGTCCGCCTCAGGCCGGAACGGGTGCATCGCAAAGTCTCAGGCGGCGATGACGACCTTCTTCCTTCTCTTTCTCTCCCCACATCCCCACTGATTCTATTTACCTCGTCTGTGAGGTACTCTTGATCTAGGGATTGTCCCCCGGGGTTGGCCCATTTCTCTCTGTTCTCATATGATATAACACAGCCTTTACCAGAGCTCCTTTGTGCTCTCACAAAGCGAGGCCTCGCCTCAATCTGGCTTCACTGCCCCCTTGGCCTCGATCTTCGTTCTACGTCTCCTTCTCAGGTGTAATCTAGGCACAGCCTTACCACCGCCAACATGTCGCATCTTCAACAGCAACTGAAGAGCTTCAACGCTGGTGTTATGGACTATGCAGCCCGCATGCCCCAACAGCGTCGTTTCGTGCACAACGCCAACAACACTTCAGCGAGCAGTTCCCAGCTTCCCTCCTCTACGTCTACACCTACTCCAAGCGACGATGCGAGACGCAAACGACACGATGCGGATATCGTTTACTCGCAGCCTGCCAATACCGGCACAGGAAAGGATATCATGACGCAGGTTGTCTTTGCGATCGAGCACATGAAGTCCAAGGGAATCCCGCTCAAGTTCGCCGATATTGTCTCCTACTTGTCCCTTCAACATCGGGCCAACGACCAAGGCTATGTTCAAGCACTGCGGAGCATTCTGCAGATGCACGAGAAGGTCCAGTACGATCCCAGCGGCGCAAACGGCGAAGGCACTTTCAGCTTCCGTCCCCCGCACAACATCCGTACTGCCGAACAGCTCCTCCAGAAACTCCAGTCCCAGTCGACTGGTGCGGGAATGAGTGTGCGCGAACTTCGCGAGGGTTGGCCCAACGTGGAAGACACGATCAACAAGCTCGAGAAGGAAGGCAAGCTGTTGGTCACTCGGAACAAGAAGGACGATCATGCCAAGATGGTTTGGGCCAATGATCCATCCTTGATTCAGCACTTTGATCCTGAGTTCCGTCAGATCTGGGAGAAGATCAAGGTTCCTGATCAGCAGGCTGTTAAGGAAGAGCTGGAAAAGGCGGGTATTTTACCTACCAACAAGAACAAGGTTGTCAAGGCCCGGCCGAAGATTGAGAACAAGAAGGTGAAAAAGCCACGTCGGAGTGGGAAGACCACCAACACTCACATGATGGGCGTTTTGAGAGATTATTCGCACCTCAAACGGTAGTGCTTGGTTTCGTCGCCTCCTGGTTCCGAAAAGTGTGCCACTGTCTTTTTTTGGATTTTTTTGCTTGGGGCTTACATTGCATTATACTGGCGTTTGTAGGGGTATTAGACATGGGGTTGTTCTATGGTTACCTGTACAATTATATTAGCAAAATCGATACCCGGATAATTAAATGGTTATAGAGGCTTGTCCAGGTTCCTGGTTAGATGTTCTAGTCTACTACTTCAGTAGGAAGGAGTGATATTATCTAGTTATGTTCAACATATGTATACATTCGATTGATATCCAAGCCAAAAGCTACTAACTCTATTGACGAAGCCAACATCCATCCAACCGTGCACCCTCCATCTAGTAAGTATATACACCCAGCCAAATTTTCGAGTTGTTTTCCCCCTTGAATGCAACGAGGTCCATCCGGTCCCATGAGGTAAACCACGAAAGAAAGAGAGTGAATATAAAAGGTATGAAACAAGACAGTAGAAAGCACGCATGTTAAGATGCTCCAACAAGAACAATATGGAACAAGAAGACATGCAAGAGAGGCGATGGAGAAAAGAAATCATGTATGAGGAATCGATCAACACTCACTCACTCACCCACTCAGTGCCCATTAACAGCAGCAGCACCCTCCACCTTCTCAACATACTCCACCAGATCCTCAATCGTACACACCTTGATCCCCCACTTCTTGCCAAATCTCAAACACCCATCCCGTCTCATCATCCCATTGTTGCCTCCAATCTCCGGGACTCCCTGGACGACCTCTCCATCCTCGACAAGTTCCGCGATGACACCCGCCTGCGTCTTGCCCGCCAACCGACAGAACTCCACTGCTGCCTCTGTATGTCCCTTGCGTTCCCTAACACCTCCGGGTCTAGCCTGTAGCGGAATCACATGGCCGGGTCGTCGCAGATCCGCTGCCGTGGAGGTGGGAGATCCCAAGATCCGACAGGCAAGGGCGCGGTCCTGTGCCGAGATACCTGTTGTTATGGAGGGATCAGCTGCGTCGACCGAGACGGTATATGCGGTTCCCTTGGGATCGGCGTTCTCGGTAACCATTTGGGGGAGGGCGAGTCGGGCGGCTATTTCGGGGGTGACAGGGGCGCAGATCAGCCCACTGCTCATTCATCGTTAGCATAGATGATCTTGTTGAGTAACATTTGATATGCTGGTGGGGGGTGGGGGAGATGGGGGTTTCACCTTGTGTGGCGAACTAGGAAGGCCATTTGCGCCGGAGTGATGGAGTCGGCGGCGATGATGAGATCGCCTTCATTTTCGCGGTCTTGGTCATCGAGCACGATGATGAATTCACCGTTCTCTGGTGCATTGGTATGGTTGTTAGTTATATGGGTGTAGTATGTATGTGTCATGGGTGTGGTGGGATGGGTTTGCCCCGCGCCGGCGCGGGTTGGAGGTTCTGGAGCTGGGTGACTCACTGAAGGCTGCTATTGTGTCCTCAATAGAGTCGAATTGAAGGGTTGGGTCCGAAGGAGAATGCATGTTGGCTGGTGGTTCGGGTTTGGTTGTCTTGTATGAAGGAGGTGGTTGTCTTGGAGAATTGTTCCCCTCGTAGCTTTGCGGAATTGGAGGCGGGGCTGAGGGAATGGCTAAATGCTACCTTGAGGGTAACTGGATCCTCCGATGGAATGGGGAGATTGGTAAGTTTGGAATTGCTGGTGCTGTCCACGAATTGAACCCAGTTTAAGTGCGAAACCTCGAGGGTTTATAACAATTGCGCCGAGTACACTGTGCTTTGCGATTCCGTCGCGATCCTTGAGTGGGATGACTGTATCTTCGGGGCGGAGACTCGGAGACTCGGATTCGGAGGACGCGGGGAGGGGAGGACAGAGGGAATGGGATTTCGCCCTTACTTTTGGAATGAGGTAATTGAAGAAGCTGTTTATGGGATATGGTAGAAATTATGTGTAACTGAAAGCAAAGAAGCAGAAGCGGAGCCCTTCAAAGAGACCGAGAGAATGGGAAGGAAAGGCAAAACCCGTGGGGGCTCACTAATGGTTTGTCAGAAGCCAGTCATCGCGGCAGGCCGAGGCCGTTGGAGATTCTCGCCGCACCCGAAAACAGTGGAACTAGGCAATTCGTCGGACAAACGTAAGGGACAAACGGTTAGAAGACAGAGTGTAATCTTGTATATCTGATCTAAAAAGGATCACTCGCAGTTTCTATCTAAGCACAAGGGTATCGCTACCATGACATCAAGCCCGAAATGGAGGTATATTCAATCAAACCAACGGATCATGCATGAAGGGGTACGTGCAGAATCTTGAAAAGACCAGTATGCGTTAATCAGATGCGCTTCATCTATTTCATTGGAGGGAAACATCATCTTCAAATCACAGCCCCAGGCCCCCCATCCGTCTCACTTCGTCGGCCTGCCTCTCCAGTGCCCTGCGCATCATCGTGGCATATTCATCTTCCCGCCGACGTAGCTCCCGCCGTTTGTTCCGTCGCTCTTCACGCTCCGCTTCCCCGATAGTTCCATCGAGAGTTATAGCATCATCTTCTTCGTCCGAGTCTGGACCCGTGTCAGGGAGGTTTGAGAAATGGACGCGTCCGATGTGTTCCCCTGTCCAGACAAGTAGTTCATCACCTGTCAAGCTGCCGCCGGTTGGGAGAATCTTTCGAGCAACTTCGCCCTCGCTGCGAGACCGCGATAGGCTACCCCATAATCCGAATGTCTGTTCTTCCTCTTCACCGTTGGTATCAGCGTTGCTTCCCAAATGAGTGGACGTTTCCCCATTGCGCTGTGGGTAGTATCTTCGCTGCGGTTGGTATGAATTAATGTTCAGGCGCCGAACTTCGGAACGTCCATCACGCTCAACCCATTTGATATTTCCGTCTGCATCGGAGTAGACGATACGGGTCCCGTGTGATTCGACTGAGAGCACCTTGGATCTAGCGACACTCTGCCGATTTTGGTATACTGTAGACAGATTGGACGAGCAGCCCGATGGATCGCTCTTGGCGTTGGTGTTGGAGGGAGTGAGATTGTAGAGCTCAAGAGAACCCCGCCCTTTGTAGTCACCGCAGGCCACCAATTTGTGGGACGCGGGAAATTCAGAGTTGGGAGAGACAGGGAATCGCGGCGCCGGAACAGCAGCAAGTCCGCAGAGTTGACCACCAGAATGAATTGTGTTCTGAAGCCGTGGGAAAAAGCGACGGTCATACTGTAAGATGCTTGGAAAACGACCGGCGAGGAAGATCGAGTTCACGTGCGGTGCGGGAGGGTGTAGAAGCGAGAGAGGTCCTGGTTGGAATAAGGGTGCATAGTTGTCACTGTTCTTTGAGAGATCAGGGCTTCGTATCCGGTGCGGGGGTTGTCCGTTCGGTTGTAGCTGCAAAAGTGGTGAATCGGGCGGAGAATAGATCTCAGATTTAGGGACTAGCGAGACGGTCGGCTCCTCACAACGTAGAGTGATAGCCTCCTGCTCCTCCGTCGCTGACATTCTGCCATCGTAGATGTGAAGACTCAAAGTGGTAGCCACCGTCAACGGTACAGAATAATCCGTCTCCTGCGACAAGGCAAAAACGGACCAAGGGAAGCGTTGTTGGGAAATAACAGTGAGACTTTCGAGATCTACCTCGTTTAGAATATTCCCGACAGCCAGGTAGGCCCTCCGACGCATAGAGTCTACGCTCACACATTCTCCGAGATTCACGAATTCCAAGGCTTGCTTTGCTCCAGAGTTGTCTCGTCGGCCAAACCGGTTGGCCATCAATATCCCCGGCGAGCTGACACCAAGAACCTTACCCTTGGTGCTTTGGGATCCAATCGAATGCGAGTGATTGAGATCCCAAATGCAGACACTACCGTCATCAAGGGGCGCAACGACTTTGTTCTGTCGAGCAGTACTCCAGTCTCGGAGCAGTCCCATTCCTTTGACCTCGCGGTATTCCCTTTTCCCACCCTGTGATACCCTGGTGAAGGGTTGCTGCATCCAACTAAGTGAAATGGGGCCATTTCGAGCAATGTACTCCGAGTACCAGTTCACCTCCTCCCCTTCGTAAGACGGGTCCCACGACGCCGCCGCTCTGGATCTTTGCCCATAAGACGGCGTTTGATCCAAGCCGCTTGTTTTACCATCTCTTAGCCCAACAGACGCGCCTGGCTGTATCAGCGATCGAAGCGAAGTTTGGCCTAATGAGCTGAGGGAAGCCGTGGAGTTGGTGAGTAGGCTCTCGGAGGTCTTGTTGGTAGCGGAACGCAAGGCTCCGGAAGCGCTCCATGACTCTTCGAAGCAGTGGAGTCTCCAGAGATTGTTATCCCGGGCCACGGAGAATAGCCGCCTCGAGACGGACTGAAGTTGTACCCGCTCGTGTGGGGTGAGATCTAAGGGTGCGTCAGCTAATGCTAATGAAGGTCTAGCACATGGCATGAAACCGGTGATGTGGGGTAACCTGGACCCTGGAAGAAATGGGGGCAAACATCGTACAGTCAATAATCTCGCAGAGGATCTCTACGGGGAGTTTCTCCATGGGTGAGACTGGGAAAAGAGAACCATTGAGGGCCAACGGGTCTGACTCATTTAGCTTGTGCGACGGAGGGTGTAAGCAAAGGCCATAACTGTTTCTTGGGGATGAAGCTCCATTTTATCCCCCCACAATCCGCAATCTAGACCGTCGTCACGTGGGGGATGCGCAGTCCGACAAGCAACAGTTCAGTCTAGCATCGCCGATCAACTTCACACGTAACTGATAAAAAATTGCTAAGGCATATAGAAAGGCTTATGTGGCTTACGTAGGTTGGTCTAGAAGTTCAATTGAATTATTCTGCCCTGTAACCTAAAAGCTCTTGTTGCATTTGGAATGCCGGATACTACATTCCAGCGCTATCATAGGCGGATTACTAGTCCTATATATAGCAAAGTTACACCGCACGGATTCTTGATGATTCTTGAAATTTCCGGAGGCCTTCCATTCTCTTGACACTCATTCGAGTCAAAACACTAATATCAACTAAGAGCCAGAACCTGATAGGCAGCCAAAACCTTTTCCTTCCCTACCCAATCCTTACCCAACCGTCATAAATGGCATTACTCGTACATTAACCGTCAGACGTGACACCAGGCAATAACAGCAATAATATAGGCGCCTGGTCGAGGTGCATAAGCATGTATCCTGGCTGTATTTCTAGCAGTCAGGCTTGTAGACGGCGTCCTTGCAAAGCACGGCCACCTTCTTGAAGAAACGCCGCCATTCCAGCGGATCGCCCTTCACCTTCATAAACTCAATCTCGAATAGGCCCTCGGAGACACATTCGATCAAGACTTTACCCTGCAAAGTGCACATCCTCCCATCCCGAGTTACGATACGAAGCATTGCGGAAGTGTCCCCTGCGGAAACGGCGGGAACCGCAGGAACCGGAACCCCTAAACGATGCAAAGCCTCGCAGATGAGAGGCACTAGAATCTTAAGCTCCCACGTAGAGAAGAACCGTGTCATGGGACGAGAAGGCACGATATCATGGAATCGCTGCGCTTTCTGCGTCCGACTCAGGGGTACGGACGGATGAGGCGAGAATTGTGACATTGACGGCTCATCCTCTAGATGGTCGAGGGCCGACATGTCGTCGGCAGAGAACGGTCGCCCCAGGGGTTGTGTTGATGAGAACGCATCCGCCACTTGCGGGGTATCCCAGTCGACCAGCATATCAGTCCTCGGCATCTCCGGCTGCGTTGATGAAATCCTTTGTTCAGCATCAATCCCATCACCCAGATCGATATCCATTCGACCCCCACCAAAACTACCCCCATGGGGTTGAGCGAAAGGATCTTGGGAAAAGTCGATATGGAGTGACTCGAACATGGTTGTAGCTAAGTTGATCGGATCCCTTAATGTGCCATTTCGGGATAGGTATTTGTTCGGTCGGGTATACCAGGGATGTCTCCGAACGTCCTCCAGGGAAAAGCGGTTAGAGGGGTCGATGTTCAGCATTCCACGTAGTAGCGAAAGAGTCTCTATAGGCAATTGCTGCCAAAGCTCATCGGATGTGCGTCCATTTGTTGCGAGGTATTCCTGAAATTCGTAACTGGTCTCTGTCGGACTATCCCACGGGGTGTTTCCAGCCAAGAGGACAAACAGGACGATTCCGCAGGACCAGATGTCCACTAGGTCCGGTCGGTAGCCTGCACCTTTCATCATATGTTTGCTACTGCAAGATATCACCTCGGGTGCAATATATGGAGGACTCCCACAGAAAGTTGTAGACAATTTCGTCACGCCCTTGTACTCGAATAACGTGGCTAGCCCAAAGTCTGCGATTTTCAGGTTCCCGTCGGCTGTCAACAGCATATTTTCCGGCTTGATGTCGCGGTGGCCCACGCCCTTCGAATGCATATAACCCACGGCACTTATCAGTTGCGAGAAGTATACATGCGCGATGTCCTCGCCAACACCCTCGTCAGCCTCGATCTTGTCGAACAGATCGCCACCCTCGGCCAGCTCCATCGCGATCCAACGCCAGATGTCATCTTCCCCTGTTTGGAAGAATGAGATTATATTGTTATGATCCCCGATATGCTTGTGGACTGTCGCCTCCATTTGTAGCTGACGCGGGCTGACCTTTCCATGACGGGCGGCGTACTCTTTATGGATGAACTTGACTGCGAAAACGGGATTGTCTGTGTAGGTGGGGACGGCCTTCTTGATGCTGCGCCGTAACTCTTCGTCAGCAGATGCTTGAAATTATAGACATCAGAGCACAGTCGATGAAGTCAATCCTACCAAGCGTAAGCACCCTGACCAATTGTTTTGGAAACGATGCGAAACGGCAAGTCATTTGGCAGCGGGGCCAGCTGAGAGTGGTGCATGTTGACGAAGATTCACGAGAAGAACCAAATATGACAGATCAACTGAGATTCACAGATCTTGTCATTTAGGGGGGGAAAGTCAATATTGAGCCATGATCGTGTGACGAGTGGCGAGTATCAATGCAAGGGCGATCGATGGAAGGAGAACGAAGCTGAAGAGAACGCGCTGGGCGGAACGCGAGAGCCACTTTATCCTCTTTGGGTAATCTGTTGATCGGCTGCCTGGCACAGCCGTTTAGTGGACCCAACATGATGGATGGGGAGGAAGGGGGATAGTATCTCGACAGAGAAATGAAATTAAAGATCAGTAAGACAGGAAAATAGTTGAAGATATTTGACTCGAGTGAGGAATGCGAAGACCAGGAGAGATGCAGCTACGAGCATTATATCGACTCATTGACCGCCTGATCTGCCCTGGACTTAACAGACACACTGGCCACGCTGCTTTTTGCTGGCTCGATCTGGACCCGCAGCAGCCAATAATGAAGTCCAACTGTAGGGAAAAGATCCGGAGTCGCACCGAAACGACACCACAATTACTTTGTATGAACTTGCATCGACACTGGCCAATATTTCACTTAACCGAAAACAAGTTTTAGAAGATTTGTAAGGAAAATGGTACATCATCACTTCTTCTCCTTACAAGAACCTTGAGGTCCCATCACGGGAGAATCACTAGGAAAACTGAGTTTCGCGATGACAAAATGACTAGCGACTCACGATAACTTCCCAAGTGTGACGGATGAAGATGATCTGGACCGGTCATCTGGTGGAGCCCCAAAGAATCAGTTGGCGGCGGCGTTGCCGGGCGGATGGCCGAGTAAACAATGAAAGACCGAACATCCCCTCCATTATTGTCAACCCGACATGAACCCACTTTAATTCTTCCTCCCCCCCCCCCCCTGCTTTCTATCTCTCTAAGATTTTGAGCTTGACTACTTCAGTGATACGGGTAGACAACAATTTTCCATTCCTCCACCTTTCTTGCCTAACGTTCCATCAAGGCTTGTTCTGAGTTCACAGCATCCGGGGATTCATCGGGTGGGTCAATCCGCTTCCCCTCCAGCCAACTGTCCCGCTGCATTCGGAGCCAGCGTCATTCCAGACGAACCCTCTTCTTCTTCCTCTTCCTTTCTCTTCCTACCGATTACGACGGTCCGTTCTACTCTACCTGGCATTCCTCCCATCCCGGAAACTCTCGTCATCGTCTCTTCCTCTTAAACCGACCGTTGCTTCCGCTATACCCCACGATCTCTTTACACTTCTTCATAATGGACTACAGCATGGAAGACACACAGAACTCGGCTCCTGACGCCCACGAGGCGTCCAAGCTCAACTCGTCAGCCCAGAGAACCGACATTCAGAGCGTCACCAAACGGTTCGTACTACGATGCTGAATGCAGCCTCCGTAATCACTCACTTTTCCTCTGGAATCTTGCATACTGATTATCATTCTGTCTCGCCAGCCTCCAAGCCGAGCTGATGCAGCTAATGCTCTCCCCCTCTCCGGGAATCTCGGCCTTCCCTGACGCCGACGGCAACCTCCTCTCCTGGACTGCCACCATCAGCGGACCGGCTGAAACTCCTTACGAAGGACTTACTTTCCGTCTTTCCTTTGCCTTCCCCAACAACTACCCTTACGCTCCCCCGACTGTTTTGTTCAAAACCCCCATCTACCACCCTAATGTCGACTTCTCCGGCCGTATCTGTCTGGACATCCTGAAGGACAAGTGGAGTGCCGTCTACAACGTGCAGAGTGTTCTCCTTAGTCTGCAGAGTCTGCTGGGTGAACCTAACAAGTAAGACGAAACCACATCGCAACGTTTGCGACCGTTCTTGCTAACAGTTCCCTAGCGCGAGCCCTCTCAACGCCCAAGCTGCTGAGCTCTGGGACACCGACCAGGAAGAATACAAGAAACACGTTATGGCCCGGCACCGCGACATCGAAGACATCGAGTAATTGGTTCGTCTATAATCGTCGTCGTCCGTTCAGTTGTTCCCGCAGACATGGGACGGACCGACTTGCATTGCATGAGATCGGGGTCTGTGCGTTTCATTTGGGGGCAACGGTTGCATGGTGCATTCTAATCTTCGTCGTAACGAAGTCATGAGTTCAGCACCGATGATTTTTCAGGAGTTTATGCGTTCGGGGAATTCTCGTTTGGGACCACAATTGGAATGGAAATACAGGAGCCCGCGTGTCCCGGGACAAATACCCTGCTTTGATTTTACATTCGTTCTTATTATTACCTGCACATGATGTTGGGTTCGTTGGTAGCTATTACGTAGGCAATCACTGAACAAAGAGATAGCTTCCATTGTATTTTCGATCAATATAAGTGTTGACATTTTTTATACTAACCTAAGTAGCAGAATACATAGGAGCTACTATCGCCATCGCCAGGGTGAAAAGTAACCCTGCCGACAATATATCCACCATAACCGGGACTATTAAGGCACGACAGGAAAGTCTTTTGCGCTAGAAGAGTGTCCTCCACAAGCAAGCACAGCAAATACTGGAGAGTAAACAAATAAACAACCCATGATCCATTGTTCTATCGCTATTTACTCACCCCAATGTTACTTTCCTAGACAGTACTTATTGTCACGGAGTACACATAGTACTACATAGCTACAACTCCAACCCTCTGCAATAAGTAGTACTAGAAAGATAGCTGCTGCCCTAACTAACATCTCATTGTCTCTTAATCCAATTCATTGAGCTATGCTACAAACTAATCCACAGCCCAGAGACTGTTAAGAGAGTGAAAGCATCAGCACCTTCCTAAAGCAGGTGAAGAGCGGCAACGTCTTCCGGACTTGTCAAGCCCCTCGGAGATCTTCCTCATACATCTACTTTACACGCAAACAGACAGCTAGAGAAAATACCAATTCGACGTTACTCCTTTTATCCTCTTGCTGCAGAAGATCAACTGCCATCCCAAACCGAATAACTGCGAACACAGCTCAATCTGGCACATTGTTGTAACTCTCACTTAGGTAAACATAACGCTAGATCTACTACCCGCAGCACTCTAAATAGCAATCATTCCTGCAATCGCCGCGCTCATAAGTGTGCTGATCGCTCCTGTTATCATTGCACTAACCGCCACGCGAGATACATCTCCTGCCCGTTCGGGAGCCAGCTGTGCCAGAACTCCGATCTGGTTTCCTAGGGAGCCGATGTTCGCGAATCCGCAGAGCGCGTACGTGGCTATTAGTCTTGATCGCGGAGATAGAGATTGGTATTGCGGGTCGGTTTGGAGGGCTGAGTATGCTATGAATTCGTTCTAACGGTTGTATCCCTTGTTAGAGGTAGGTTCTGGGTATTGGAGAATAAGCTTACCATGACAAGCTTCATACCGATTAGTTGTGCTACTTTCAGGAGGTCGTCGTCCCGGGAAACACCCAAAAGGAAGGAAACAGGGTAGCAGATATACCCCATAATGAGTTGGATCGTCAAAGGAGGATCGTTGATATTCAGGTAGCATCCCCACCAGGTGAGAAGACCGTTGGCTAGACCGACCAGAGAAATGATACAAAGTAGGTTGGCGGTGATCATGCCTGCGATTTTGATACCCATCCAGGCGCCATTGGCAAACGCGTGAAGGGCGTTTGCGGCTTGATGCTCTTCGTCTTCCGGGACGGTGACATGGCCTGCTGTGAGGGTTTCTTCTTTTTCGGGCCAGCGTATCTTGGATGCTGCCAAGGAGGCGGGGATGCTCATGACGCAGGAAGATACAAGGGCTTGAGGATTGACGCCCATGCCAATGTATGCGATGAGACCAGAGCCGGCGATGGTGGCAAATCCAGAGGTCATAATTTGATGAATTTCCGCCATGGTCAGGTGCGGTACAAATGGCCTTATAAGCATGGCTGATTCCCCCTGCCCGATGAACGGGGAGGCCGCTGCAACAACCGCTTCTGCCCCGGACACACGCATCGACCAGAAAAAGAATGTCGCAAATTTGCGAACGAACCATTGTAAGATGCCGGCATGATATAGGAGCTGCACAAGAGATACAAAGAACATAATTGCGGGGATAACACTGACGATGAACCATCCTTTGTGTTTCTCAGCCCAGCCTGTCTCGATGAGGAAGTCGACACCTTGCTCTGCGAACCCCAGTAGTTTCTGGGCCAGGGTCGATATGAAGTTAAAGATGTCGTATCCCGCCCGTGTCCGCAGGACGAATAAAGCCACAAGGAATTGAACCAACATGCCGACGATGACGGTATGCCAGACGATATTCTTGCGGTCCCGAGAGAAAATCCATAGGATGAACAAGAAAACGATCAGCCCGAATAGGCTAACTGCTCTGTCGGCTCGCGTGTTTTCTGGTGTATCCGCAGAGACGAAACAACCGATCATAATCACGGCAATTGTCATTATCGCTGCTCCTGGTATACGAAACCTTGGAGGCACATGGCTCACAATACGTGAGACGGTCTGTTTCCAGATCCAGAATACCGGTCTAGTGAGCACAGAGATGGGAAGATAGAGAAAGAGTATACGAAGTGTGATAGCCAGATAGACGAGAAAGGGGATCACCCATCCTAGGTCATCACGGTGAAGGATAAGCCCCGCAACCCACCACCTGGTGATTAGGAATAGGTGAGCTTGCAAATCTATGGGGTTAAAAGTGCAGCAATTAAGCTCACCCTGTGAAAAGTATCAGAATTCCAGCATATGCCACATGCCTGGAGTACCTGGACATGCAACGCCGATATTGTTTCCGAGGAGTGTGGCTTATGTCGGCTTCTTCGATATCATTTTGTTTGCCCTGATGTTCTTCTGTGGGTAGCTTCTTCATGTCTGGGGCACTGATATCATCGCCACGGGGGATTTCTGAGTTACCTGCATGAACACCTGCAGTCTCATTCGAATCGCTGCAAGCCTGTGACATGATCGTGGTCTTCTGGCTAATCGCCAGGGCTTTTTCATCTGCCGTCATCTCTGGGGTACTAACTTCTCGGGGAGGAGACGGTGAATTAGTCACGGATCCAAGGGATAAGAGACTGTCCCATGGTGCATCTGCAGCTTCTCCTAAGATATTTGCGGGGGGGGATGGCACGCGAACCGAAGGTGTCTTATGGTAGGCTTACGGTGAGACACGTCTAATCAAGAAATGATGAGAACTAAGCAGCCTATGTTGCTCCGGCCATGATCAAGCCTCGAGGTTGTACAACGTGGGTCAAAAAGCTCAATCGACGGGCAAGACGCATTATGCCAGGGATGGAGTCGCGGCCACTCCGGCGGTCTACCCTTTATACTTTCTCGTCTTTGTGTCACCTGGGGCCTTTACTGCTTGCTGTCACTGGCCGTGTATCCAGGGACGAGCATCTTTGCGGGGTGTCCTCTTTCATCCAGGAAAGGGTGCGGAGTAGTGTAAGTTTATTGATGACGACTGAGCAAACTGTTCTATCTTGCCTTCCGACCATTAGCCTAATCCTAACTCTTTGCGCTGAAGGGGCTAGCTAATATGCTTCTTGATGACATCTCTATGACCAGTCACATGGCTCACTATTGCATCGACTTGCAATGCTTTCCATGTTGAGTTTATGGGCATTCAGTTGTAGCTCGAATACAGTCGGTCTGATTGGCTGGAAAAGGTGTGGTCTGCGCCGTATCTTGGTTCTACTAGTATGCATGCTGCATCAGAACAATAATCCTGCAAATCCTGTGGACACTATTGCCTTACCACTATAATTTTGCCTTGTCTTTTTCGATGTTTGCTTTTTGCTTAGAATTTCACTTGGTCCCGGTGACGAATGTTGTTACTAACTCTTAATTTTTAAAGCAGTGGCGGAAAGACACAGGCTTCCTACTTTTAACCTCCTCAAGACTTTTTTAGTATCGAAGAGTGCGAAATGTTTCCCGGTGGGGTGCCACATGGCAGAAAACCTTTCGCAATTGCTATGGATGTCCCATACGTTTAGCCATGACTCCTAGTCATCCACCTGGCTGGCTACCATTGATCAAAACTCGGAGAAATGTGACGTTGCAGCCAACAATTTCATCACAGAACCATATAAAAGATCAGTACGCTTGACTAGGACCTGACAATGCTATGAGAAGCACTTGGAGAGAATAAAACAAGAGATCCAAGCACTTGATTATTCGGTCTCCAGAAAGCAGTGGGAATAAGCCAAAATATTGTGTTTCCCGTTCATCTTGTCTGATTTCTGGACTCTCGAATCATCGATCTGCGAATTATATGTTCATGGCTAACAGTTTTGCTAGCGGTTTTGAACACTGTATGCAGGAATAGATGATGCATGGCCTGCGAGTGCTTAGAACTCGTGGTATCCTTGGCGTCTGAACGCCCTGATCGTGGGCAAAAGGATTATATGTATGGTACTTATGGACACCTTCTCTTTCGCGAAACAGTAGTTGACTCCATTTGCTTCTATTTAATATATCAATTTTTGGTGATTTTAGTTCCTACGACCTCTGCGGCAGTTATATATATTCATCCCCGACGCTAGTAGATGATACTGGAGAAAAGAGGGAGACTGGGACATCACTCGACAGCAGAACGGACGCTACACTGGAACAGAGCCCAGAGCTCACATGGCGTGTTTCCTGCAAGTTGCACTTTGTCTGAATGGCTTATTCCCGCATGCGGTCTGCGACACTTGAAACGTTACATTGAGGGAAACGGCAAGCGGGTAGGAGCAAGGAAAGTCGTTGTACAGTGAGACGGGGATGTACAACCTGACTGCAAGACATGAATGCTACTAGATATATATTGCCGTTGACCACCACAGTACCAGGGTGTATATGTACTACATTCAATGGATCCTGGGGATTATTGGAACGTGATCAGTGTGGGATACACAAAGCAGAAACCCCAAAAAGATCGACCGGCCGGTGCAGTGGACGCAACCGGTACACATCAGCGACCGCATCGGTACACCCTTTTAACGACCATTCAATTACAGCAGAACAGTTTTGACTTGACTGGGTCAAAAATTAACGACGCGACAGACTGCTTGTGTGCATGCAAGAAGGAAGACAAAAAAGGTCGTGCCCGGGATCGAACCGGGATTGCTGGAATCAGAATCCAGAGTGATAACCATTACACTACACAACCTGTTGTTGTGATAAACGGGTCACTTTCTAGTCTTACAAGCTAAAAAATTCAGAAAATCAAGAAACCAAGGTCGTGATATGACCTCATTGTTTTCGCCAGCTCAAGGTACCTGAATCGACTCTACCCCGCTAATCTGTTTCACACATGCTACAATATGCATAGTTCGCACAACATGGAGCCGCAGTCGAATGAGGAGTGGCAAATTGAGGAGGGCATCCCCCAAGTTGAAGATCCATTTATCCAGCAATATCTGCGGGGTCGGAGTTCGCTTATTCTGGAAGAACAAAAGCAGCGGCATGGTGGGTAGTATCGTGCTCAACATATTTACTTGGACTTGGCTAATCAACGATACTAGATAGCAACCTTACTAAGGCTTTACCGCCAACAGCTGCTAGAGCTTGCAATATTGTCGCCAGAATCCGCGACCGGGAGCTACATCAGCTTTCTTCTTTGTCGGGTTTAGATGATGCTCGCTTTCCCGAGGCCAAGTCCCTGGATTGGGATAGGGTGCAGAAGACAAAGCTGTGGAGAATCATCAAGGCGATGCCTAAAGGATCTCTGTTGCATGCTCCGTTACATGCTATGATCAATGCGGACTTTCTGATCGATGTGGCCTTCGCTACCCCGGGGATGTGTGTCTTTGCGACGCAGCCTTTGCTATCCCAGGATGACTTGGATGAGAAGCTATTCGCCTTTCAATACTCGTTGGCGGCGTCAAAAGACTTGGAAGACAGACCTTCTGTGTGGTCGTCTGCGTACGAGTCCTCAAGTCCTATCCCACTGAGAAAGGCTGCCTCTTCTTTTCCGTATGGGGGAGAGGCTGGGTTTCGTGACTGGCTGCGGAGCCAATGTATCCCTCAAGCGGGGCGTGCGAATTATCATAGCCGTGCGATGCCGATTGTGAATTCTCTGCTCAGCTATGAGCCTATCTTGCGGGCATGCTTGCGACATGTATTTGCTCGGCTTCAGAACGATGGGATCAAATACGCGGAGTTCAGGACGACTTTTACTTTCCCATATCGCAAGGAAGGGAAGGATATCCCCGAAGAAGGCCGTGGCGATTGGTGCCACGTGTTACAGGAAGAGCTTGCACGTTTCCAAGGGACGCAGGAAGGGCAAGGGTTTTACGGAGCGCGGATTATATGGGCCTGTCCCCGCTCATTGTCGAAGCGAGACATTGTCGAGAACATGAAAGATTGCATCCTGGCAAAGTATGATTATCCCGATACGATTTGCGGATTTGACATGATAGTGGATAAGGATGATCAGCACTCGCTCACTGATTTGGTTCCCATACTATTTTGGTTTCGCAAAGAGTGTTCTGCAGAGGGCTTGGATATCTCTTTCTGCTTCCACGCTGGCGAATCCCTGAGAAATGGGGGAGACCAAGGTTTGTTCGATGCTATCTTGTTGGGTGCGCGTAGGATATGCCAAGGGCTCTCGCTCAGCCAACATCCATTACTGATCGAGCTAATTAAGGAGAAAAAAATCCTGATTGAGTGCAGCCCGCTCTCAGATGAGATCCTTGGACTCACCGACAGTATTCAAACGCATCCTCTACCTGTCCTATTAGCCCGTGGTGTTCCTGTATCTCTTGGTATTAATGCGCCGGGCCTGCTCGGCGAACCAAACGACCTGACCCGACAGTTCTGGCAAGCGGTTCAAGGGATTGACAGCATGGGTCTTACGGGCCTTGCAATGATGGTGGAGAACTCCATCCGGTGGAGCTGTTACCAAGACCAGCCATCGGCGGAGTGGCTGTCCGATCTTCGGGAAGGGATCTTGGGGGAGGGGACGAAGGCTAGCCGTTTGCAGGAATGGTATGCAGAGTTTGAGAAATTTTGCCAGTGGGTTACAGAGGAATTTGCGGAGGCGGAAGGTGAAGAGCAGGACTGAATTATTTCACATTCCACCCATAGTGTATCCGTCAACAGCCATTCCCCAAAGTTGCATTAAACCTTCATAATGAAGGGGGGTACGCTTAGTAATGATATAGCGGTATGCCGAGATGAATAAGCAGAACGTGCTCGTTATGCAAAGCAACAACGCTTGCAGCTTTTCAGGAGAACATTGCCTCATCGCAGCAGTCGTTAGTTTGACCGGTCGCAGGTAGAGTGGAATTTAATTTAGACTAGACTAGAATATGATCAGCGTCCTGGTGAGCAGAATCATGTCGGCTGCTGCTTGCTGCATGATTTATTGAGTGGAGGTTAAACTCCAGTAGAGCGGATGATGGACTACTCCACGAGCCAGTGCGATAAGGGGGACAAAGGAGAGAGATTCTGCAGCAGGATGACCGTTGATTTTGTTTCTTCTTCATCTTCGATAATACCTTGAATATTATTTACTTTTTCTTCCACTCTCGTGGTAAATATTGAGTTATTATTATTTTCCGTTTATCACCGTTAGGCCGAGGCTAAATAGACAGTGTCGACAAGTCCACCAGACACCGCAACGAATCGCTCATTTGCCATGGTTCAGCTGGCAGTTGCTTGCCCGGCATTTGCACTTCAGCCAGCTGTTCTGGATATTATCCCGGAGCCGAGTGCTCATCCTCTGGTTGACAATTCAAAACCCTCCATGAGGCGATAAGTTCGACGTAAGTGTGAGTTGTCATGGTGTGATTTGGGGAGGCCCGGCCCAAGCTCCGCCTGACTATTGCGGTTGATCTTCGCTATCTCTCTCCTCCTCCACTAGCGCCTACATCCCCGAACGTCATCCTTCCCTCCGGCACCTTCAGCAAACCCTCCGCATTTGTTCCCCCCGACACACTTGTTGTGCTGGTGCCTGTCCCAGGAGCAAGGCATCTCTCAACTCCCCGATCGTCTCTTTCGTGTCCTTGTTGCCTTATTATGTTT